AAATCTTTCAGGTCTTCATTTCAATTGTTTGTTGCATTTGTGCACAGAATGAAGGGCAGTGAGATTTCCAAGCAAAGGATTTCATAATGGATACCAGTTGCATTCACCTGGGTTACCAGTTGGGTAACATGAAGCCACCAGAGACAGAATTGGGTCATTCAACTAGATCCCAAGCATCCTCTGTGGCATTTTTGGCTCACATGCCCATATTAGACATTTGTAAAGCAGCAATCAGGTCATCATGTCACTTGTTTGCCTCTCACTATACAATCTCTCAACACTCTAGAGATGCTAAATTTGGACAAGTGGTCCTCCAATCCCTGTTCAAATAGACTCCGCACCCACCTCCACATGGGACTGCTTGTGAGTCACCGGCAGTGGAATGGACATGTGCAATCACTTGAAAAAGAAAAAAACAGTTACTAAACTTACCATAGTTGTGATACTTCGCCACAGCATTGCACTGTCGTTCATGTTTGAATAGTTATCTGTGATGATCCTTTAATTGCCTCTGAGCCTGTTTTCCCTGCCAGCTCAGGTCTCCAGAACCCTGCCTTGTTAAGCCAGGCATGCTAGCCTGTTGCAACACAGACTCAGGTCAGGTCCACGCCCCCAAAGCTGCAGACTTTAACCAAAAACTGCTCAGCAAGTCACCTATCTCCAGCACCCCGATACCCAGCTCACAATGGGATCCAAATCCCAAATAAATCCGTTTTACTCTATATAAAGCTTATACAGGTTAAACTCCTAAATTGTCTGCCCTCTATAACACTGATAGAGCTGCACAGCTGTTTGCTCTTCCAGGTATTAATCACTTACTCTGGGTTTATTAATAAACAAAAGTGATTTTATTAAGAATAAAAAGTAGAATTTAAGTGGTTTAACATAATAACAGACAGAATAAAGTAAGTCACCAAGCAAAAATAAAGCAAAACCACGCAAGTCTGAGCCTAATACATTAAGCAACTGATTACAGGTAAAATCTCAGCCTCCGAGATGTTCCAATAAGCTTCTTTCACAGACTAGACTCCTTCCTAGTCTGGGCCCAATCCTTTCCCCTGGTACAGTCCTTGTTAGCTCCAGCAGACATCTTAGGTAGAAACTAGAGGTGTTCTCATGACTGGCAGCCCCCTTTGTTTTGTTCCACCCCCTTTTATATCTTTGACACAAGGTGGGAATCTTTTGTCTCTCCGAGTCCCCACCCCTCCTTCTAAATGGAAAAGCACCAGGTTTAAGATGGATTCCAGTATCCTGTGGGATCCCAGCCTCCATTCTTCCAGGGCTGGCCTGCATGCACCCAGGAAGGTTTGCAAGTAAACAGATCATTTACAACCAGTTGTCCTAGTCAATGGGAGCCATCAAGCTTCCAAACCACCATTAATGGCCCACACCTTGCATAATTACAATAGGACCTTAGAGTTATACTTCACATTTCTAGCTTCAGATACAAGAATGATACATACATACAAATAGGAGGAATATATTCAGTAGATTATAAGCTTTGTAATGATACCTTACAAGAGACCTTTTGCATAAAGCATATTCCAGTTACATCATATTCACACTTATAAGCATATTTCCATAAAACATATGGAGTGCAATGTCACACTCTGTGTGGGGCCTGGGTAGTCTTATCTATAATTATGGGTTACTTTAACCAGTTACCCACCCAAAGTGAGGTTTACACCTACTTTACAATGCGAGAATTCAGCCCCTAAGGTCAACTACAGCAGCAATAGAAGTGGGACTTTACAGTGTACAGAAGAATCGACATAGTGCTCTGTCTCTAATAATTACTTTTACTAATCAACCAAATAACAATACGCGCTGCAGTCTGGTGAAGGAGAGAGAGGCCAACACAGAACTCACAGCATTTGCATTACTCACACCATGCCTTGTGGGAAAACCCAAAGTGTTAGCCCTCATTCTCATCATCCTTACCACCAGTGGTCGTCATCCTGGTGTCTCCCCCTGCAAGGCATGCAGGCAGGGATACGGCTTGGATAATGGGTTAATGCAGACACCCCACTGAAATTCATATTTATTTATCAACAGAGAGTCCTGTGGCACCTTTAAGGCTAACAGATTTATTGGAGCATAAGCTTTCGTGGGTGAATACCCACTTCGTCAGACGCATGTCATGCGTATGCCTGACGAAGTGGGTATTCACCCACAAAAGCTTATGCTCCAATATATCTGTTAATCTTAAAGGTGCCACACGTGTGGGGTCTTAAAGGTGTTGGTTTTTACAGATCCAAACTAACACGGCTACCCCTCTGATATTTATTTATGAAGGTTTTAACTCCTTTTCCTTATTTGAACTTCCACAACCCTCTACTTTCCAGGTGCCCTGTTTTTCATAGGCTAACTTGTTAATGAGTGTAAGGGGAACTCATATTTACCTCACCTTATCAACATAGTAACAGGCAGTTATCTTAAGGAAGTCTCTAATATTTCACCCTCCCTCCCAAACATAGACTAGGCTCAGCAGATTTATTATTAATTTACTTATGCTAACTTATCTTTGTATTATAGTTAACTTATCCTGAGGCCTAAAATAAGTTGTAGGACTAAGTCATAGGCCTTGGCCAAGCTACATGTCTTAAAGGCCTGAGGCCTGTAGGCCTTATGTTAAAACATTAACATTCACCTCTATATCCTAAATACACCTGATACCTTTATCCTTGGCTATACCTGTCTTTGTTCCTAAACATGTGCCCTTGCATTTGGCTGTATTAAAGCATGTATTGTTGGATTCCACCTGACTCACCAGGAGTTCTGAACACTTTATATGTGACTTGTCCTCATGATTATTTACCACTCCACCAATTTTTGTATCATGTGCATACTTTATCAGCAGTGATTTTACTCTCATTCTTGATAAAAATACTAAATAACACTTAGTCAAGAACTAATCTCCGCATAACCCCACTAGAAATTAATTCCCCAGTAGTTAATTCCTTATTAACAGCACACTTTGAGATCTGTCAGACAGATTGTAATCCATTTAACACAGGCCATATTGATTTTGTATAACATTAGTTTTTTATTCTGAATGTCATACAATGTAAGTTGAACTCCTTACAAAGTCTGAGAATATTAGGTCAGCACAGTTACCTTTTTCAACCAGACTTGGAATCTTGTCAAAGAGCAATATCAAGTTTGACAATACCTGTTGTCCAGGATACCATGTTGATTGGTATTAATTTATATTTCTGTTCTTTAACTCTATCGATAGGACTGTCAGCCATTTCACTGTTTTGCCTAGGATCAGTGTCAGGTTAACTGACCTAGAGTTACCAACATCATTTCAGCTACCCTTTTTAAATACTGGCAAAACTCTGGGTTTGTTCTAACCCTCTGGAACTTCCTCAGCTTTCCAAAACTTGTTAAACAATAACTAAGCTCCTCTCCCAACCCCTTTTAAAATTTTTCTGTACAAGTTATCCAGACAAAATGTTTAACTTTAATAGTAGATACTGTTTAGCATTCTCCTTGGCAACTGTCATGTAATATTGATATATTGTTCAGACTGGATCCAAATACAGAACAGAAATATTTCTTAAACACATCTTTTTCTGCTTCATTATTGACAATATCTCCCTCTAGTAATGGACCTAGAGTGCTAGACCATTGCTAGGATTGCTTTTGTTCCTGATATATTTATAAATGCCTTAACCTTACTGGCTATAGATATTTTGTTGATTATACCTTTAGGTTCAGTTATTAATTGCTTGTATTTCTTAACCTCTTATTTATATTATTGCTATTCAGCTCCTTTTCCCCATTTATGTACTGATTTTTAGTTTGTTTTATTGCTGCTTTCATGTTACTCTTAACCAAGATAAGGCAGGTGAGGTGGTATCTTTTATTGGACTAATGTTATCTCACCCTTCTTGTCTCTCTAGTATCCTGGGATCAACAAGACTACAATAACAGTCTTAACCAAGTTGACTTGTTATTCAAACAGCCCTTTTCTCTGATATGGAATTGTAACTTTTTGGGAAGCAAGTGAAATGTTCTTAAACAATCTCCAACTTTCATTCGTAATTCTCTATTTACATTTTTCCTCCCAGTCAATTGAGCAAATTAATTTTGGCTTTGAGAAATTGGCCACTTGAAAGCTGCATATATGTATGTAACTGGTTGAGTGTATTCTGTTTGCTCAACACAGATGTAACCAGCTCTCAATCACTTATACCTGGACAGCCACTACTTTTTTAGGTCAGTGATTAAATTATTTCTGTCAGAATGAGATTTCCTATAGAGTCACACTCTGAGAGCAATATTTCCTGTGTTACAAATGTTAAAAACTCCAAAGATGTTTCACCAGTGTATGTCCCCTGCTGTAATGCAGTGTTTTTCTCCTCCAGATAATAAATGCACATCCTTTTCTCTGGTCTTATCTGATGATCTGTAATAGACTGCCGCCAGTAACCAATCTGGTTAATAGATTTTAAGTTCAGAGTGAACAATTGTGATCCTATATGACCTGCATTACACAAGCCATAAAATTGTACTTATTTGTTTTCCCCTTCCTTCCCCTTTTTTGTTGTACAATAAGATTGTTAACTGTTCGGAGCAGGGACTGTCTTTTCCTTCTCTGTCTATGAACATCTGACAAAATTGCTTTCTGCTTTAGGGCTAACTTCATCAGTAAACACCCTCATGCAAGAAACTGTCTTTATTAATTACCTCTATAAAATGCTTTGCACAGCTGTGAGCAATAGAGATTGTGTGTATTGATGTTGGTGTTGTGGGCGGAAAGAAAGAGGCTGGCTGCCTACATCCAGGAAAGGATGGCTCGTCAAACAGTCATCACTGGAGCAAGAGAGGAACGGGGAGGGTTCATTTTGAAGATAAAAAAGAAATGGCAGGGAACTGTGTTGGAATGGGACACAGATAACCTGTATGGGGGCATGGGAAGGTGGTTCCAGATGCCTAGAATGAGCATAATCATTTTCAGGATACAGAGGGTTAACATGCATCTTTTTTGGTAGGCATTTGAAAAGGATGAAAGTATGTTGCAGTCACAGAAGAAGAAAACTACTGTCGCTCTTAAAGACTGTATAGAACTCTTTACTACAATGGAAACGCTTGGTGAACATGACCCTTGGTAAGTTTACCACCCAGCTGTTTGGCAGACATATTACTTGGACTGACTTTATATAAAAATAATAAAATAACAATATTGTTTGGGTAAAGGTTTCCCCACACTATTCTTTCTGAGCATCTTACTATCCTACCCCTGTTCCCACAGCCACAGCTCTGCCACTGCACCTCGGTCCTCAGCAGCAAGAGAGGGAATGTTACCTTAACAAAAACAAAACCCAATTACTCTATTGCCTTTAGAAAGCTGCTGTAGTTATTATTCTTAGGCTCTGTGTAGTTCTGCCATCTCAAACTTGACCTTTAGTACTCATGCTGTTGTAGTCCTAACACCCCACCCTGTATGGTTCTCTCACTCTACCTCATTTCTTACCAGGTGGAAGCAGGCTGAGCCAGTGCTCTCTAACACACTACTACCTTTGTTCTAATGCTCCAGCGAAATTGACAAAATGTCTTCACTTCAGAAACTTGGAAATCTAGTCACTTTCACTCTGCCACTTGGGCAGAGAGTACAGCAGAGGGAAGGGAGGAGCAGAGGGGAGGATTGGAAAGGAAGCAAATAAGGATAGAAGACAAGATAGGAAGAGGAGAGTGGGGAAAGACGTGCTGAAAATACAGTGCTCCAGGAGTTTTTCTTACAGCTCATCCTGGCTCCTGCATTCCCTCAGAAGAGGAGAGAGATACTGAGCAATGGCATTTGGGTAGCAGTAGGTGGGGGGACATGGTGAGTGCGCGAAGGCGGCGGGGAGGATGTACTAGGGGAAGAAGAGATTGCATATGTGAGGAAAAATCAGAGTGATGTTCTCAAAGCCTATTTAAAAAAATAAAATAAAAAGACAAAGGTGACTACAGCCTGGGCTAGGGATAGGCATTTTATATGTTAATCAAAAAAATACTGTTTGTAAAGGGGTTTGAGACCCTTGGATAGAAGGCAGATATCAAAGGTGGTTCGTGCCTATTTTATACTCCTTTCTCAGGTACTGCCCTAACTGCAAGAAGCATCAGCAGGCCACAAAGAAGTTTGATCTATGGTCTTTGCCCAGGATTTTGGTGGTGCATTTAAAACGCTTCTCGTACAACAGATACTGGAGGGATAAACTTGACACTGTGGTTGAATTCCCCATCAGGTAAGGTTCTTTACCAGCAAGGCATAACTGGGCAGAGCAAGAAACTCCACTTTTGATGTAGCGATTGTATGGGCTCCTCATTGGAGACATAGCTCAGGATAGGATTCTGCCTCCAGAGCCACAAGCCAGTAAACCTTAGTGAACCTCTAGTAATTGTCTCTGGAAAGGGGGTGCTACTTGTACTTGTGATACCTGGAGCTATGACTGCAGAGCTCCTGAGCTTAACAGGGATGGGCCTGGCCACTATTTGGCTAGGATGCTTTACATAGAGCAATAGTTTAGTTATATATTATAGACTTCTAGAAAGAGACCTAAAAATGTTAAAATGTATGACTGGCACGCAAAACCTTAAATTAGAGTGAATAAATGAAGACTTGGCCCACCACTTCTGAAAGGTTGCCGACCCCTGTGCTAGGATTTCCAGTTCAGTGTTACCTCTACTTAAACAGTAGTGTGCATCACTTGGAAAGAAAGGTGCTATATACGTGTGAGGTATGAAAGTTGTTCATCTGGCAAAGCATAGCAGGAGTCCTCTTTGGGTAATGGTATCTGTGTCCTGGAAGCAGGTACAGTACATGCAGTAATACCTGGAGATCCTTCTTGGAAGTCAGGTATCAGTGTTATTTCTGATCTCTGTGTCCACAATGCTCCTGGAATGGGTCGCTGGCAGGCGTTGAACCTGACACCTCTGGATCTAAAAGCATGAGCCTCTTACTGTAGTAGACTCTCTATGTAGATGTCTGTACTTTGACCCATCAACTTTTTCTCCAATCGGGGATACTGCAGATTATGTATTCCTTACGACACCCGATTTTAAACCAAATTTCACACCCTCGATAATCTGTACGTTATTCCCTGATAACCAGAAACTTCTATGCTTAAACTCTGTACTGTTCACTTTTTTTTAAACATCATCTTAATAAAAATTTTAAATCCCTCCTTTAGAGGAGGATGGAGCCATGCTGTTAGTGTGGATTACATGTATGTTGCATGACCATCAGCGTCGTCCCTCTGCATCCTCTACCAAGAGAAGGCCTTGCACTCATCCATACATCTCAGGCACTACCATCCCACTGCAGGACATAGGGCCTACCCAGTGCTGCTCCAATCCCTCATATGGAAGAGTTTGACTTCTTCATGCTTATTTTACATTGATTGCTGTTGGCATGGCACTTAGCCATCCTCTCTCACTAACCACACAACAACACTTGAGTTTGCCAGTAACTGTCATTCCTGACAGCAAACAAACTGGCTGATGCCATCCATATTACAGGTGCCTAAGGGGGTGACATCACTGGCTTGTGGGTCAAATAGGTCATTAATAATTAAAAAGGAAAACCAGCATTGATTGGGGCAGGTTAGCCCTTGGCCCGGTGCTGCTGTTTACAATGATTCATGATTACTAGGCCTTTCTCTTATTATGTGTACAATAACAATGTGTTCTTACTTTTTTCTCAGGGATTTGAGCATGTCTGAGTTTGTCTGTGACCCAATAGCTGATCCATATGTGTATGACCTCATTGCAGTGTCCAATCACTATGGAGCTATGGGAGTAGGCCACTGTGAGTAACTACCTGTCTGTTCTTTATCTGCAGGTAGGCGGGAGGGCTGTGTGCATATGGGAAAATCGCTGTCGGGAGAGCAGTGACTCTCTTGGGGGTGGGGAATCATGATGGATGGGCACTAGTGGGTGGGGATGTTGGGGCTGCAAGTTGCTCAAGCCATCCCTATATTTCGCAGCTGTGGTTCTGCCCTGAAAGCCAAGGGAGCAAATTCAATCAGAGTTTACAGCGCCCACCCCTTAACCCCTTGGCGGTCCATGGATTGATATAATGGGCTCCCTGTAAGGAGGCAGGCAGTAAAGGATGTGCTCCACCCCATTTAAACCTCATCAGCAACAGGAAGCTGCTAGCCATGTGCTAGGCTGCTGCATCCACACCGGGATCTGGCCACTGTGGAGGGCGGGGCCTTGGCTAATGAAGAAGAAATTAGGACAGTTGGTAGGACTGGTTGGAAAGCTGTTTGGGCAGCATTAAATTTCAATGCTGACATCACAACAAATGTAATGTTCAGCTGTAGTTTCCTGTGCACCTTCTGTATTTTATGGGACACGTTCTGGCAAACAGTAGAACTGTTAACCATTAAAATAGGAATAAGAATACACTGTGCAATGAAACTGGTTGGTAACACTGCTTCTGGAACCTGAATTTCTGCTGTTCCTCACTCTGGTGCTTACTGTGCAATGTGATGCATTGTATAGTTTTTTGCCTTTTTATTATCCTTGTTTAAAAAAAAAAAAAAAAGAAGAAATGATATGGAAGGACTTGTCTTGTGGTGCTTGGGAATGCCTTACTGTGTAGGGACGTGGCTAGCTTTTCCAGTGGAGGCTGTACATTCCTTCCACTAGCAAATGCTCACATCTGTGTGCAGCACCTGTAGACTTAAGAAAGCTCTCTATTGCACATGGTCAGTGTCCTGTGAGGCTGAGAGCAGGATGGAATTTAGCAGGATTCAAAACAAGATTGGCCTTCTGTATGTACAACAAGGAAAACCGCAGTTAGCATTAGATTAGGATTATTTTAAAACGTAAATTTGGAGTGGGTATAAGCCCTCTGCTCCAGAGCAAAAGCCAACCACTGACTGAAGGATCAAAGAGAAATTTAAGTTTCTTACACCCTCCTCTGAAGCATTTAGGATGGGCCACTGTTTAGAATAGGATTGTGGATTAGATGGACCTAGCCTCTGATCCACTGTGTTCCAGTGTTACTGATATCGCTTCTGAGCAATGAAGCCCAAGCTCCAACTTCTTTCTCTTCCCCCGCACACTTACTTTGTACCTCTTATAGATGGAGTTATCAGAATTGAGTGTGATCAGGGTATTAGTTACACTAGTGAGCCCTCTGCCTTACTGCTGAATGTAGATAGTCACTCTGTTTGTGTGACAGATACTGCATATGCAAAGAACAAAGTGAATGGCAGATGGTACTACTTTGATGACAGCAGTGTATCAATGGCTTCTGAAGATCAAATAGTGGTGAGTACTTGGGCTTAGACTAATTCAAGATGGGGGAAATCCCCAGATATAAAACCCAGGAACATGCTGGGATGGACCCAGATGTTTCCTGCCTCTGTTAATCTAATCATCATAAATGTAGGCTAGAATCTGCTGTGGATTGAGGTCAGATTCAAGCTGACGATGTTGTGAAGGAGCAGCAGACTTTCATAGAATCATAGAATATCAGGGTTGGAAGGAACCTCAGGAGGTCATCTAGTCCAACCCCCTGCTCAAAGCAGGACCAATCCCCAGACAGATTTTTGCCCCAGATGCCTAAATGGCCCCCTCAAGGATTGAACTCACAACCCTGGGTTTAGCAAGCCCATGCTCAAACCACTGAGCTATCCCTCCTGGCCCCTGCATTGTGCTGCTGAGGTTGCTCTATGCGTTTTGGAGTGGGTCCAATGTCCCTTCCTGCATGAAAAGCCATTGGAGGGGATTTTCTTTTGTTACAAGGACATCTCTGCAAAGATTCCCTGGCTGAGGTTCCTGCTAATACACCTTTGTGTGGAGGGGCTGGCTTCTCAGAGCAAAGCCTGAATGGCTTGCCCCTGAGCCTGATAGGCTACAGTCTTCCCAGGATCTGTGGGGTGGGTACCTGGGCTGTCCAGCTCTCTGCACAGACAGTGGGGAAGAGAGGGCACTAAGGTGATATGAAAGCATTTCCTGGATTGTTTCTCTTGTTTTAGATATTGAGGCTCCATAAATCTCTACATATAGCCTATATTACAGGCCATGCTTCCCCCTAGGCCTCCAGCCTCCACATGAGGCAGAGAAGTACTGAGCTGCCCTATTGGGAGTCTGCGATAGGTTATCCCCTACATCATCAGCTTTCCAGAACTGTGCTTCGTGGATGGTTTCTTTTCCTCAGATTGGTTTTCTTTCCTTGTTTGGCAGACGAAAGCTGCATATGTGCTATTTTATCAGCGGCGGGACAGCAAGCAGCACATAGCCCCGTCTCTGCCTGCAGAAAGTGAGCTGGCATCGGAAGAGTGTGATGGCATGGATACCAACTGAGCCCAGCCTGCTGCGCTCAGACTGCTCGGTAGAGTTCTTTGTTTGACGCCATGTCTGGAGCATCTGAGAATTGCTGTTCTACCTTCAGTAGGATTCTCAAGCAGGAAATCTAGTGTTGGGGGCTTAGTGCCCAGTGTTGTAAGATAGCACTGGGGAGCCAAGAGTGAGCTGACACGGGTATCTAGAGGCCAAAAATTATCTATATCAAAGCTTCAATAAAATTTTTGTAAATCTGGCTAGACTGTGTGGCTGGAGCTGGGGAAGGAGAGGCTTGGGCTGGGCTGAGTTGTGGGGCTGGGGCCTGGGGCGGAGAGGGTGACTGCAGGGTGTTGCAGAGGTGACAGAGGTGTTATTTGGGCATGAACGCTACTCCTGTGGTGTGCCTGTTGACAGCTCTGTGCATAGCTGTCAGGCCCAGTCCAGACTTTCTCTGTCTAATCCCATCAGCTTTAGTGTCCGGAATTTCTGCTACTGCTACGGCACCAGCAGTGCCTCTTCCACACTCCCCAGTCCATGTGGCCACAGCTCCTGGTGTCTCTTCTTCTTTCTGCCTTTGCACCTTTTTTCCTGTGCTGAGCAGCCGGGTGCATTTGCTCTGGTCCCTGTATGCTGGTGACATCTTTGACTATTCTGGGCAGCTGAGCCATGGGCCTTTCCCACATTCAGACATATCATTTTGGTCCCAAAAAAGTAGGAAATTCATTGGAAATGAAATGCAGCCCCCCGGGCCACTGCTGCATGGAGAGAGCTGTACTCTGATTGCAAAATATACGCACTCCTGTGTGTACGATAGGATTTCAGCTCTGGCTCCTGCTCTTAGCACTATCACAGGGTGAGGTCTTAGCCTTTGAGACCCTAAATTCAGCTCTTGTTCTATTCATTCATATTCCACAGTCCTTTTTGCCAGTTCCCATGGAAACCTGCTGATGATCCCTAGAATGACAACCCCCCGATTGAGTTTGTCCCCTTGCCCCACACCCCTGTGAAACCTTGGTGGTTCTGTGCACCAGTGATCACAGCTTCCGTGTGATCTCCACAGCTGCTGTGTAGACGGCTTACATACCACCACCTCCCAGATGCTAATCCTTTCCAGGAGCTGGCCCAGTCAGAAAGTGGCCTCACTCCAGTCCAGTGCTAACTCTTCCCTCTCTCCACTGCTGTCCACACTGGTTCCATGCCACTGCCATCCCATACAGGCACTGCCAGCTGTCCAGGCCTCCCACTTGTTTATTTCCTAGAAGTTAAAGGGGGGGGAGGAGGAGGAAAGGCACCGTATGGGAACGCAGTACAGGATTAAAGCTGCATTCGCTAGATTTGCTGTAAAGGAGAAGGGAGCTGCTGTGTCCCCAGCCCTCTGGTTAGCATTGAGCTACTGCTCTGCAGAGCAGCTCTTTTAAAGCACTGAGGTTTGAGTTGTTTAGCTCATAATTGCTGATGCTTCTGCTGTTTGGTTCTTGGTTTGTTTGGGTTTTTACACCTGGCTTAAGTGGATATTATGTTTCTTTTCTGTCCCCCTCACTAGGGGTTAAGTATAAACTGTAGCACTGCACTGGGTTTTTTTGTTTAGCATCTTTGATCGTGGGTTTTCCACCCTTTTAAAGTAAAGATTTGGGGAGACAGTGGGGAAAAAGTAAGAAAAGATCCTGTTAAAAATGAAGAACAACATAATGTAACAAATGTGGTTCCCCTTCTATATTGACACAAGAAACCTTGCCACTTTCCTTTGTATGGTCAGATTGAAAAGGCATCCATCGGGCTGAAGGCTGATTCTTGGATGCTGAATTGAAATCTCTTCTAATATACTGCAGTAAAAAGGGTGACAGGAATCTGGCCTTCTCCTCTGCCTGTCAGCTGATTGGGTTCTGATTGGTGTGTACATTCTGTATAATGTCAAATCTGCTTTTAGACTGGCACTTTGTAAGTGACTGGCTTTATTGTATAAAGAGGAAATAAAGAGTGGTTTGCACTGAATTGGGACTTTCTAGTGTTGTCAACCTTGCTTCTCTGAATTCGGATCAGAATGAATAGGTCATCACTCTAGGACACAGGCTGGTTCACAGGGGACTGCCCCTGGGAGGAGGCTGAAAGGAAGGAGGGGAATGCTGGTACCACAAGGAGTTCCAGCTTATCTCCTACTTACTGATCCCCCAAGCACAGGTGGCCCACATGAAGTGCACACACTGCTACCATAAGAATGACCATATGGGGTCAGACCAAAGGTCCATCTAGCCCAGTATCCTGTTTTCCATCAGTGGCCAATGCCAGGTGCCCGAGAGGGAACGAACAGAACGGGTGATCCATCCTTTGTCAGCCAGCTGGACCAGTTCAGGATCTGTGTGAGTCTGTGCAGCTGATCTGCACCAGATCGCCAGGAACAATTCTCATATGCTGTCAGGTTTCATTCCTAGGTTTCAATTTTTGTCACTTCTGGAACAATGAAGGTTTAACTCTCCTATCAAAATGAGGATTTTGCCACAGCCTTCTTACGGCATCACTACTGCTCCACCGTTGTGAGAGGGTGATTGCGATATTCTGGGCTACCATGAAATAATGTCATTAACTCCCTCAGTAACCATGTTGCTACTCAAAAACCAGTGATTAGCCCAAACTCATAAGTTCTTAGCACTGCCTTCAAAGAGATCTGCGTCTGAGTGCAGAGAGGGATTTGGCTGACTGACTGTCCATCAATTTAATGCGTGATGGTGGATTTTGGTTTCCGTGGCAGTACAGACAATGGCTGCTTCTCACCTCCTTAGCCAAATTAACCGAGTCTTGCCTGTCATACTGGACTATTCATAGCCTCTGGGGCAGTGTACCCTCTATTTTTTTTTCTACGCATGTGCAGAGTGAATTTTGTTATGGGCACCAATATGGAGGTGATGTGTGACACATCACCTCCATATTGGTGCATATAACAAAATTCATGTGGCAGGGGTGGGGCTGAGGAGTTTGGAGTGTGAGAGGGGGCTCAGGGCTCGGGCAGAGAGTTGGGTGTGGGAGGGTGAGGGTTCCGGCTGGGGGTGTGGGCTCTGGGGTGGAGCCAGGGATGAGGGGTTCAGGGTGTAGGAGGGGGCTCAGGGCTGGGCAGAGGGTTGGGGTATTTGGGGGGTGAGGGCTCCAGCTAGGTCTGTGGGGTCTGTGGTGGGGCTGGGGATGAGGGGTTTGGGGTGCAGGCTGCCCTGGGGCTACGGTGGGGGAAGAAAGGACTCCTCCCAGCTTTTTTTCCCCACAGCAGCACCTGGGCTGGGGGAGGGGAATAGGTGCCTCTCCCTGCCACAGCAGCTCTGGGGCTGAGGTCGCAGGAGAGGTGCCTCTTCCCCAGGTGTGACAGGTCCAAGGCTGGAGGAGAGGCATCTCTCTCCGTCGCAGCACTGAGCACCTGCACAGCGCTTAATAGGCTGCGACGTGACCAGGGCCGGCTCTAACTTTTTTGCCACCTCAGGCAAAAAAGGAAGAGCGCCCCCCCCTTTGCGAGCGCCGCGCCGAAATCCCTGCCCCCCCGAGCACCACGCTGCCCGAAGCTCCACCCCTCCAAGCGCCATGCCAAGCCTCCGAGCGCCGTGCTGCGCCAGCCCCCAGTGCCGTGCCCGCCCGCCCCTCTGAGCGCCAAGCCCTCGCTCCCCTCCGAGCGCCGTGCCGCGCCAGCCCCGCCCCCCCAGCGCCACACCAAGCCTCCGCCCCTCCGAGCACCATGCCATGCCAACCCCCACCCCCCCTCCGAGCGCCGTGCCACGCCAAGCGCCACGCCGAGCGCCGCACCAGCCCCCACCCCCGAGTGCCGCGCCGCCCGAAGCCCCGCC